TCCACCTAGTGAGACATTCAAGGCTGAACTTATGACTTCAGGTTGCCAGAGACTTTGCCAAGAAATGGCATAATTTTTATTTCCCTTCTATTAGATGTAGGTGAGAGAGTTATTCATTCACTAAAAGCTGCATTTGTTGTATATATTCCATTGTCTTTGGAAGAAATCTATGAAATAATAATAAAAGTACTACATTGGAAAATCAGATTTCAGGCATAATATTGGCTTTGATTATTGAATTATTTTGAGGACATCATCTCAAATAAGAGAGTTTCATTGTGTACATAACTGTCATCACCAAAACTGAGCTCAAATCACTGCTAGCAGTTAGCTATAGACTCTGCTCTTCTACAATTGAAGACTTTAATATGAACATCTAATCACACCATACGTAAAACTGTTTACTGATCTCTTGTATTCTAGGTGCAAACTGGTATCTCATTGCACGTTGCATCCTGTTAGTTTTTCCAAATATCCAGACAACAAATGTTTGAAAATCTCCAGAGAATTCTTCATCCTGCTGTGGTCTGGTGATGTTACACAGAGAAACTTGGGAGGGTCTATAAATCAAAATGTTGGCACTGACAGGGTTACAGCGTCTCTCCCACACATTTACTGCATCCTCTCGAAGGACCACAGAAATTTTTATTAATTAATTTTACTTCCTTGTAGAATTAGAATGCTCTTCCACAGCAAGAAGAACTTTTCCACAATGTATGTGAGATCTGGTAAAAATATAAATGGGGGCAAAATGAAAACACAGTGGGAGGTTGAGAGGTAAAAGAGAAGAGGGCAGACATCAGAAGAGTGGAGAGAAGGACTGAGAGCCTGGCTTAGGATAGAAAAGGTTCTCAGGTCCGTTTAACATAATTTCCACTAGAGCATCTTTTTGTGAGTACTCATGCTTGTAGGATCCAGTTTAGACCTGAAATTTTTCAGGCAAAGAGGTTTACTTAAGATGTCTTAGAATTTCATTTACAATGGTATCTGTGCAAGGAATTGTTTACATGAGGTAAAGGTTTACTTTCAGACATAACACAGAAGGAAATTCAAAATGAGGTCAGAATGTTACCAGATAACCACAAAGTTCTTCTTCAGATCCCCAAATCAGTAATTTTAAAATAATATTTTACATTTTAGGGGCTGTTAAATTTTATTGTGTTTTGTGCATTACATAAAATAGATCTTAATCAAATTTAGACTCCCTCCCTGTCCCTCATACATGCCCCCATCACATTCCATGTATGTTAAATCCTATCCAGTCAAGCAATTTTATTAGGCATTCAAATTTATGAAACAACCCTAGACTCTAATCTCTTTTTTATTTTATTTTTAAAATACTTTGTTATTTTTATTTTCATGTGTATGAGTATCTTGTCTGTATGTGTTTAAGTGTACACATGTTTTGCAATGCCTGCAGAAGTGAGAAGAGAATGCCAGAGCCCCTGGAACAGGAGTTACTAGCTGACAGATGGCTGCTGGGAACTGAACTTGCATCTTCTGCAAGAACAGCCAGTGCTCTTAACCACTGAGACATATCCTCAGATGCTTTTTTTTTTTTCTAAAAAAATGCTGCAAGCCACGATATGCCCATGTGGATGAGCTTGAAAATTCAGGGTCAGGAGCAATAGAAGTAGGACAGTTCAAATCGAGCAAAATTACAGTATGAAGTGATGTTCAATAACAAGAGGGCCAGTCAATAGTAAGTGTTGTATTAATGCGGGACATTTGGAATGCTAACTGTGACTGCTGAGATTCATCGCTTACTGAAACCCCGAGGATCTCATTTGTCTCCTACCATGGAATACTTTTTTCTTTCCAAAACTGACACTGAATTAAATTCAGAATGCATTATGTAGTTCAATAAAGCATCAGAGGAATTTTATGGTAGCTAAAAAGATTAATAGGGAATTCATGTTAATATGTTGCACCTTTACTTGATGATACTGAGGTAAAATTGATGTTTTCACCCAACAGTGAAGCCTTTCCTTCATTTTGTGATGTTCATGCTGTCTGTGCTGTGTTGACACTGCAGTTAACCTGCTTCTTCAACAGTCCTGCTGCTCACCAGCCGACTAACTGTTGTTTTTGATTTTGCTCTCAGTTATCATCATGATTATTTTGTTCTATGTGGATGAGGACACATTTTAAGTGTAAGAGATCCTTTCTCTGTTCCACTCTCTTTTAGTGCATGTGGACAAAGAATTGGTAAATGCTTTGGGTGACTGAGACTCTAATTTCCCAGATCTGATCGTTATGCAGTACGTTAATTCCTAGCCCAATTCTGACAAATTTGACAAATTTTTCTTCAGTTGACAAAGGAAGCAAATATGAAACAGAAAATGTTTTTGTCTATAATCAAAAAGAGAGCAAACATTGTAACCTGCGACCTGGATTGATGTGCTGCACAGCAGAGAAATACAGAATTAATTTGGAGACAGCAGGGAGCAGTCTCCTTAAAACCTTGAAGAAAAGCCATGGACGCAAATAAGCTTGACTCACGTGGCATCCAGACTGATCTTCGGGACTTTATGTTTCAGGCTTTCCTTTTCCTTCTTCTTGGCGGTGGAAGAAAACGGTTAAGAAATTAATGGAAGGGTCTGAGATGACTAAGCATCGAGGTAAAGAAGAGGAAGAAACCCTTTTTCTGATCACGGACACCAGACTGGGATCAGCAAAGAGGAGAAATGAGAATTGGAGACGTAGGTGCTGACAGCATAATGAACTCTTAGGGCAGTTGGAGGGAGATCTGAGGAGAAAGGTGACAGACACGGCAGGCAGACTGTGGACAAGAGCAGCTATCCAAGTACCACTTTGGAAAAAAATAGAGAATATGCAAACTTGATATGAGAAATCATAAGATTGAATTTACTTGTTTGGATTCTTTTTTTCAGGTCTTTATTTTCCTAAAACCATAGCCCTTGCTCCAGGAAATAACCTTCTACCCACGTTTACGTAAGCAACCCTGACTTAATTCACTGGGTCACACAAAACAAGACAGAAGACTAGGAGGGGCATTCTGGGAAGAAGAAAGGCTTTAGCAGAAGGAGAATGGATGGAAAGAGGGTATTAGGGGTGAAAATGTCAAAAATTTACTTTATTCGTGCATGAAACAGCAAAAGATTAAATTGAATAAAGTATTAATTTCTATTAGGAATCCCCCAAGCAAATATCTGCTGCGTTTAGGGATTATCCACATCGGACTTAAAGAGATCGAAGTGAAATGGACGGTTTCAAATGTAAGGTAGCCTTTACAGGACAGGAAGATGGTATTTAATAACTGATAATGTGCTGTGATCCTATTAGTTTTTGCTGAGCTGGGTGATTTCATGTAAAAGACAAAGGGGATTTTGAAAGGAAAATAATATTTTTACTCAATAAGAGAAGAAGCAAAGAAATAAGAAAAAGTTATTTCTCTTTTGGTCTGCATTAATTTGGTATAAATGTAAGATGCTATTTGTTATAACTTTTTTCTTCTTGCTCTTTTTTGTTTGTTTTTCTGCTTTGAACAATGAACCTGCACAGGTCTATCCCTTTAAAGATTTATCCACTATTTAACTCTTTAGGAAAGAATGAGTGTTTTATTCCTTTTGAGACAAGACGCCACTTTGTAGTCTGCAGGGTAGTGTGAACTCACTATGCTGCCCAAGCTTGTCTCTTGTTCAGAGCAATCCTCCTGTCTCAGCTTCTTGAGTGTGATAATTACAGGTGTGAATCACCTCACTCAACTAAACAAGCACCCCCCAAAAGGAGCATTTTTTAAAAGAAGCTTTTTTTAACAGTTTTTGTTTTTACTCATATGAAATGTACTGTGATCACAAGGCTCTTCTCCCCCACTGCCTTCTCTGACCCCCTCTTGGACCTATTGGCCCCCTTCTTTGCATATACTTGCCTTACTGATTTCTCTTCTTGTTCAAATAGTATTTTTATTTATTCTTCTAAAATTCCATATATGTTATATAATGTATCTTGAACACATCCACCTCTCAGTCTCCCAAATCACCCAGGGCCAATTCTACTTCCTTTAAAACCACATATTTTATATCTTATTATAAGACTTTAAAAGTCCTGTATTATTTTAAGTCCATCTTATCTTGGGCTTAGCTCTTGAGTATGACAGGTGAAAAGCAAACATCATAGAGTGAATTATCTGAAAATTGCAGGCTCGTGAAATCAGTTGGATATAACTGAGTAGGAATAAAAGCCATGTTGAATGGCACTTGCTTTGATTCTGCAGAGGTGCCCTCAATGATGTCTTAGAGTGAGCACTGCATGGTGTCTTAGAATAGCACAAGAAAACAGAAAGCTCAGACAGGTGAAGAAACAATAAAAATCACTGTAGGGGTTACCATGAAAGATAGTAAGACTTGTGGTCTAGAATTAGTATGGTGTGGGTGGTGTTATTGAACAAAGATTGTTCATGTTTAGAGGTCGTGTGTGTGTGTGTGTGTGTGTGTGTGTGATTACTTTTTAAATTTTTTGGTTAGCATACAGAATAGTGGGTTTCATCATGGCCTCGTCATATTTTTGTGTTGCTAGACTGTTGTTATTTTTCCTTCTACACCCACTGCCCATCCTCATGCCTCACCCCCCGCCCCCAGGCTGGTTCTCTTTCTTCCTCCACTTAGTCCCAACTTCTGCTAACTAATATGTTATACTACCCTCTCTCTTTCCCTTCAGGCTTAAGATCTCTTCTTTTCCTATCATGATTAGAGGGGATGTTTAACAGGCTTCCATCTGGGAGGCAGAAAAGACAATCTTATCCTGATGGTCAGTCATAAACTCTAAGTTTTACTTAACTGATAGTAACAACAATGAAGTGGAGAAGATGAACAGAAATGTGGAGTGGATTAAGGAGTGATTGCATAAGCACCGAAGTTTTCTATGATTGCTTTTGTTTCATTCACTTATTTTTTTCTTGACACAGAACTTGGGCTAATCATTGCTATCTCACTGAAATAAAATGTGGAACTTGATCTTGGTTATGGTTTAAATGGCAGCCCAATGGCAACCACAAACTCCAGCAGTGTCCTGTCCTCCACATTCTATCTCACAGGTATCCCTGGATATGAGGAATTTCACCACTGGATTTCCATCCCATTCTGCTTCCTCTACATTACTGGGGTAACAGGCAACTGCATGATCCTGCACATTGTACGCACAGACCCCAGGCTCCATGAGCCCATGTATTACTTCCTGGCTATGCTTTCTCTCAATGACATGGCCATGTCTTTGCCCACAATAGTATCTCTTTTCAGGGTGTTGTGGGCCATTTCCAGAGAGATCCAGTTCAATCTTTGTGTCGTCCAGATGTTTCTGATTCACACGTTTTCCTTCACTGAATCATCTGTGCTCTTGGCAATGGCCCTTGACAGGTATGTGGCTATCTGCCACCCACTGCGATATGCTACCATTCTTACCCCAAGACTTATTGCCAAGATCGGAATTGCAGCTCTGCTCAGGAGTTCTATTTTGATAATTCCACTTATGGCACGTCTGGCGTTCTTTCCCTTCTGCCGCTCCCACGTCCTTTCTCACTCCTACTGTCTGCACCAGGACATCATCCGCCTTGCCTGTGCTGACACCAGATTCAATGTCATATATGGGTTAGTCCTGATAACTATGCTATGGGGCATGGACTTTCTGGGCATTTTTGTATCTTATGTTTTTATCCTTCACTCGGTGCTAAGAATTGCATCCCATGAGGGGAGGCTTAAGGCACTTAACACATGTGCATCCCACATCTGTGCTGTACTCATTCTATATGTGCCTATGATCGGGTTATCTCTTGTCCATCGTTTTGCCAAACATTCCTCTCCACTCATCCACATCTTCATGGCTCACATCTATTTAATGGTTCCACCAGTGCTCAATCCAATCATCTACAGTGTAAAAACCAAGCAGATACGCCAAGGAGTCCTGTATCTCCTCTGTCGCCCCAAAATTATCCATTCAATCACAGTGTAGGCAAGCCATCAAGACAATGAGGGAATCAGTCCCTAATAGTATGGACACATGATTAATTTTCTGCTCTAAGTATGATGTGCCCAGAGCTGTGAACAGAAGCCTAGGTACAAAGCAGAAACAGAGGCAACAGAGCATCACAAAGAGGATCTTTGGGCACATGCCCTTGCTCGCTAGCTAGACAGCCTGACTTCACACATGCTTCACATGCAGTGTGCTGGTAGAGGATCTTTGGGCACATGCCCTTGCTCGCTAGCTAGACAGCCTGACTTCACCATGTGATCATTTTCATTAATTCTCTCCAATGTCCATCCTCAGACATTGTTTAAGGTCGCTTATACAAGAACATTTTGAACTCATATTTGTTTGCTTCTTGATCTTAAGTAATGTTTTTCATTAACTTTGTGATACTTTATTGTTCTGCCGTTCATGTGTGCAATAATGATGGTGATGGTGAGATTTTATCTAGATATGATGATGTATTGTGGTCTGGAGCAGATGTTACCAATACTTATGTTCTCAGAATTATTTTCACATATTTACATACACATTCTTCCTTATCAGAGGAGGTTTAATTTCCTTAGGAGTTGAAATAAGCATCTTCTGAATCATCATTTTCTTTCTTTCTATCTATCTATCTATCCATTAATCCATCCATCCATCATCCATCTATCTATCTATCTATCTATCTATCTATCTATCTATCTATCATCTATCTTCTATATTCTATCTCTATCTCTGTCTCTAGCTCCATATCTATATCTATATCATCTATATCTATATCTATATCTATATATTTGTTTTGCTGTTCTGAGGATCAAATCTATAGTTTAGTCCATGGAAGGAAACTGTTCAATCACTGATACACATCCCCACTCAATAACTCTTAATTTTTTAAAAGCTTCATTATATATGTGTATGTGTGTGTCTCTATGTGGGTATATGGTCATAAGTACAGGTGTGTGCCTGGAGAGTCCATGAGAGAATCTCAGATCCCATGGAGCTGGAGTTACCAGTTGTTGTGAGCCTTCCTACACAGATGCTGGGTTTTGAACACTGCTCCTCAACAAGAGCAGTGCACGTTCTTTGCTGCTGAGCCATCTCTTCATCCCAAGCAATTTAACTTTTTTAAAAATACTGAAAAAGTATTTTTTGTTCTTTTTAGAAAATAATTTTATTGATTTCAGAATTTCATGCAATGCATTTCTAACTCCCAGATGGGTCCCAAAGATCATCAAACAATACTAAGTAATGCCATTATACCTGGTTACCCATCAGTACTTGGTGGTAAGAACTTACTGTTGAGGACACTACATACATAACAGTCAAAGAAAAAAACAAGGTGAAATCAAGCTGGTACTGACCTTGGCACTACATCTCTGCTGGCTAGTTTTCATCATACTAGTAATTGTTTTGAGTCTTCTGTTGTGATCATGTGAAACAATATTAGAGTTCATTGACTTAAATATATCTTAATAACAATTCAGAGTAACTACTAATTCAAACATGAGGAATGAAGCAGGCTGCATTACCAATTCTTAGAAGTTCGTGTTAGCAGAAAACAGTATAAGTCATTTAATATTCATCTGGAAGTATTTTCAATGTATAAATATATTGTTTATTACATAAATGAAGTTAATTTAGTCCATTTTCAAAACTAACTGGGTTTTTGTAGTTCATGTGTCTACACTGGCTGAAACAAACAAGGCAAAAAAGAACTTAAGACTTCAGAATGTCTTTTATCCCCTGACAGCTATGTAAGTTTCTATAATAGATAATCCATTTTCATATGTTTTTCTAGCTCTTAAATAAGAATTGTGATAATTACAGCTGTGCTTGTCAATGAGGGATTCAGGATTGCAGCATGTATAGTGATTATGAAATAAAGTAGTGATTGAAACCAGAATGGCTCTTTGGTCTCTGTACTCCTAATACGTGGAGTTGCTATGATTCCACTTTCTATATAATAAAATCTATCTTAATAACTGGAAACCAGAAACCTCTAATTTTACACAGCTGAGGTCTTCCCAGAAAACCTAAGAAATGTTTACTCCCTAACTTTGGTTTGACTGTTGGACTGTGTTTGTTTTTCCTGTTTATTCTTATCGTGAGCCTGCTCACTGTCCTTTTCTTCTACCACGTTCATCTTCACAAAAGAGAATATCAATGAAAACAATGTAAATGTGGTGATTTAAATGAGAACATTTCCCTCTAGATTCATGCATTTGAACACTTGGCCCCAGCTGGTGGCACTGTTTGCGAAGTTTAGGAGGTATCGCCTTGCTGGAGGAAACATGTCACTGGAGGTGGGCTTTGGGAGATCATAGCCTTGTGTCACTCCTAGTTCACACTCTCTGCTTCTGTTTGTCCTCAGAGATGTGAGCTTTTAGCTTCCTGATCCTGATGCCATGCCTCTGTGATGTGATAGAGTCTCATCCTTTCGGAACTATAAGGCAAAATAAACTTTCTTCCATAAGTTGCCTTGGTCTTGGTGTTTTATCACAACAACAGAACACAAAAGACAAATAATACAGCAAGGATATGAATATCAAAATAAAGTGACTTCTATAGCATGATAAATATCTAAAACCTAATTGACCTTAAGAAGAATATTTGTAGAGAATATGAACATCAGTTATTCATTGAGCAAATAATATTTATAGTTACTTTTGAAGTAACGTATTCAGGTGCATTTATTTTTAAATCTATCTTGAGCACGCTGACCGTAGGGAGAATAACAAAATGACAACATACGGAAATTGCATCACAGTAAAATGGTACAAGCTCAAAGGAATGAGAAATGAAAATCTTGAAATACCATTACTTTCAAGCTCTTTATGCCATTGTGATTTTCTTTATGCGTCTTTGGAATTGAATGCTGCTGTCCTAATACATGGTTTGCTGTATCCTGTTCATTTTAGGCTGCATTATCTTCATTAAACTTATTTGCACTTCTTGATAGCCTTACAACACTTTGATGGAGCAAATATTTAATTTGTACTCCATTAGGTCTGAGCACTATGAAACCGTGTCTATGGAGTGTGTTTTGTGGAATAGAAGCAAAGTGCTCTATTCTCAGTCCAGCATTGGGGAACTTACAATGCTACGTGTCAGCCTTAATGTCCAAATTTCTACCCAATAAGATATGTGCCCATCAATGAGACTCACTACAGGGCAAACTTAACAACTTTTCCACTGAGGACTTGATGCCCCAACACCACAACTGTCATATATTTCAACTATTTTTGTTAAGTGGCTTGATCTAAATATTACACTCAGAAGAATTGCCTGAAGATTTTAATAGAATGCAGTTAATTCTAAGAGAAAGATGATTAAGATGACGTATTGAGAAGACAGATGAGTGAAGGTTTGTGGATAGAAAAATTGCCTCATGTGCTTTTATGAGTGTAGATTGTTATTTCTTCATACATTTTAAGAGACCAAGTTAATCAAATAGCTAATTAATTTTTTTGTGAGGTATATCTACAATACTTATTTTGTAGAATAAGCAGTATGTATAAAGATACAGAGTATTTCCAGCACATCTAGGAGACACTGTTTGAATGATGCCTCTCAAAATACTAGTGAAGTCTTAGTAGGAGCTTAATTTTTGTCAAGTGCCAGTTTAAACTCTTCATATATATTAGGCCATATAATCCTTACAACAGAAAGACAAACTAAAATTTTATGCTTATCTTTCTCATTTTAGAATTAGAAAATGTGAAAAATAGTTCAAGTTGCTCTCTTGCCAAATCTTTGTGGTTTTTCTCTAGAAATCCAGAACAATTCTTAACCATAAAAAAGGCTTATTATAATTTTTAATTTAAGAGCTGGGGAGATGGCTCAGCATTTAAGAGTACTGGTTCATCTTTCAGAGGCCTGAGGTTCAGGTCCCAGCACCTGAATGCCTGCTAACAGGCATTCTCCAGTTCCATTGGATTCAATGCCCTCTTCTGGCCTTCATGGGTATCAGGACCTTCATGGGTATCAGGACCTTCATGCCTATCAGGACTCAGGTTTGCTTTGCTCAGCAGGGAAACTTGCTTCAGTGGCAGAGAGAGAGAGTACCAACACTGGGACTTGTGATTTCCTTCACACACACCATTTTTTACAAAGTTCGGAGGATTTTTATACATTACAAGGAACTGGCAGTCACGTGGGGTTAGGCAGTCACATACAAAGATTTATGGTACAAAGAAACAGGACATATGGCCTTTTAGTTGGCACCAGCAGGATGCTTAAACTTTTACTCAAGGTTACCGATGCCCGTCTGGTAATTTATTGGCCACAATGTTTTCTTTCTTGGGGCTTGTATTAGTCACTTTTCTGTTGCTGTGAAAGCTCAGGAGTTAACCTTTAACCTGGTCTAATCTCTTAGCTAATGATAGCTGAGTTATTTGCTCAGGAAAGGGAGATGAGCTAAGGGCTGTTGAGCAAGACCCTTTCCCACAAAGCCTAAGCTTTTAACCTGGCTGCTTTTCTCTTGCTAGTCCTGCAGTGTCCTGCAAGACAGGGATATCAGAGCTGCTGTTTTCAACAACCCTCCTTTTAATAGAGAATGTAGCCTAGGGCATGCCATTCTACTGTCCTACACATGGGCAAGGCCTAATGTATCGAGGTATTTTTGACACAGCTCACCAGTGTTGCCTGGTAGGGCTTCACTGTAGCCTTAGTTGAGAACACACAGTAGGAATACTTCTGTGTATGGCTTCATGTGCAGAGTGTCAAGAAATGCTGCTTGAAATACCTTGATTCAGGTTCAAGACTACTGAATGCTATGGATTGCTGCTTTACTGTGCATATAAAGTGTTTTAAACCTTTGAAAAATTTTGGTTAAATTACAGAGATCTCCTTAACATAAATTACAGAAGACATGAAATCCAGTGGGGGGGTGGTTATGGGAGGGTGTCAATGGGAAAAGGAACCATAAAGATGATTAAGATGTTGTGTATGAGGGGCTGCAAAGATGGCACAGCACTGGTAAGAACACTGGTTGTTCTTGCAGAAGACCCGGGTTCGAATCCCA